CAAAATAAATACCCGATATGCATGTAATATACGCGTACGTTGTCCAATAATACTTACATTCGTTATCATACCAGACTACGAGTTTGACAAATGTGGGATTCAATTGGATACCTGATAGAAAAAAAAAAGTTCATACTGCATTCAGTAAATTACGATAGTAACATCCAAAACTTTGAAAATGTCACGTACCAGCCTTTGCGTCGAAAATACCAGAGTGAGTATCACTGACGAAATCGGTAGATACCACCTAATTACGAAAAAATATTTGTTACGCAATAAAAAGACACCAAGAACTTTCAAATATAAAAAAAATTAAAACTCGTACCTGATCTTCAGTGTAATCAAGAATTCCTTTCAATTCATGTTCTGAAGCATGTTTGACAACGGCCTTAATCTCTTCATAAGTCGTCTCCCTTGCCAATCGTACTGTCAAATCAACAACCGAAACAATTGCAGTAGGAATTCTGAAAGCCATGCCGGTAAGTTTGTTGTTCAAAGAAGGAATAACCTGACAACAATCCAATGAAATTAATTAAAAATTTTTTTTAATAAAAAAAGAATGTATAGCATTGAATAGCGTGTTTATGTACCTTTCCGACTGCTTTTGCTGCACCTGTTGAACTTGGGATAATATTTTGGGCTAACAAGCAATGAAGATTAATTAAATTATCTTAAACCATCCTACGGTAATGAATATATTGCAGTACCTGCACCCCTTCCCCTCCTCCAATCCTACAGGATTAGATTAAACATTAAAATATATTGCTTAAATATATATTGAAAATGACTTGTTTTCCTTTTTAACATGCCTTCTTGGAAGGTCCGTCCACGGTTATTTGGGTTGCAGTAGTTGCATGAATGGTGGTCATTAATCCCTCAACGATACCAAATTTATCGTTGATAATCTTTGCGAGAGGTGCCAAGCAGTTTGTAGTACAAGAGGCATTAGAAATGATCTTGTATTCTGGTTTGTATTCATCCAAGTTAACACCAACTACAAACATCGGCACATTGGCAGCAGGTGAACTAATTATAACCTGGATTTTATTTCGTATTACACTATGTTAATGTCGGTTGTAAGGAATTGCAATGGATAGTAAAATTTATGACAAACACCTTTTTTGCTCCCTGATTGAAACCAACTGTTAGAAGTGTATGCAAAATCATGATGTGACATTATATTAAATACAAACCCCTAGAAAGGAGATGACATTATGGACATGAAAAATTATTACGAGCAAGTATTAGGAATAATCCCGGGTAGTGAAAAACAAAACTTTACCATGGAAATGAGCAGATGCCTTCTCGGCGCTTGTGAAAGCGCCACTAGATTCAACGATGTAGTCAGCACCGGCTTCGCCCCATTTAATATCAGCAGGGTTCTTTTCGGAAGAAACGGAAATCTCGTGATCATTCACGTGGAACTTTCCGTTTCTGGCTTCAACAGAACCTTCAAAGCGTCCATGGGATGAATCGTATTTAAAAAGATAAACCTGAATAACGTTACGTGGTTTATTGAAAATTTAAACATCAATACAGTACTTGAAAAGTAGTTGATACCATAGATGCGACAATAACAATATTGAATACCATAGTTTCGAGGTCCATAAAAGGATCATTTACAGCCACAACACAAGTGTTTGGGTTTCGTAATGATTCTCGGAGAACGAGGCGACCGATACGACCAAAACTAGAGAGCGCTTCGTGAGCAATATACGAAATATGCGATTAAAAAGGTCAAGAATATCATACCCATTGATACCGATCTTAACAACCATGGCTTATTGTTTTGTTATTTTTTTTTTTTTAGAGTAGACGAGACGAACTCGCATGCTTTTTATACAAAAATCATATTATTACAGATGACGACGGAAATGATTAATTGGTGGCACGTTCGCATGTATGGACGCGTAAACATTTCAATATCAAACCAACAGATGAGCATACGAATGACAGGATAATAAAATTGCTATTTTTATTATTTTTATGAAAGAATAACAAATGCAAATGATGCGTGCATAACGCAAAGTTAAAGTAAAGGTGGAACAAACAGATGCGCCATTTTTTTTGTCTTTATCTCTTGGATAAAGAAAAGATGTTAACGTCATTTTTAATTAGATGAAGTTCCATCGGTGGGAACAAGTATCATGTGTACTTTGATTTGCTTAGATTAATAAAAATGTTACAAGTAATTTAAGTAATTCAAGTAATAATACTATTGATGGATCCCTTTAACATTTTAAGGAACTCGGGATTCAAAAACATTATTAAATGTGAGATTTAATGTTACGCGTAATTGCGTATTTTCGATTTTTATGGATCGCCATTAATTCAACATGTTTGTTACACCTGAAATCATATTCTCGTTTCCTTTGTGCGCCATTTTTCCTTTCTCCTTTTTTGGAACAAATTTAAGCTCAATTAATAATTCGCCTTATTTATCTACGACCATTTGTTTACACGATATCTGTTTTTATACATTTTTGGCGAATTTTTAATTCACATTTTTGGTGAATTTTTAATTCTGACCGACCAATGAATATCATCAAACAATGGGATCGTTGGCATCCTTTCTAAAACGGAAAAGTACACAATCAGGCAATCATAAATGTAACATTGGCGTAATTAAATAAAAACGTGACTAATGTAACATTGGCGTAATTAAATAAAAACGTGACTAATGGAAAATGTAAACTTGTGCTTCTCGCTCTTTTCTTTCCCATTCTCCCAATAATGTCAGAAAAAAGTAGCCCAGACATAAAGGTAGATGTAATTGATGGCATGGAGCTGGAATTAAGTGCTTCGCAATTACCATCAAAAGAAAATGTGAATCAACAAAGTGAAAAGGCACAACCGGAAAAGCAAAAAACCACCGTTTCCATGATTAATTTTTATGTTATATCGATTGGATACCTTGTTTTTACACTAACCGATTCCGCTCTGCGGATGGTTGTTTTATTCGAACTATACAAACGACATTACGACGTATGCAGCTTTTATTTTATTTTTTTCGACCGATTTAATTTTGATTCATTTCCATTTTAATAACCATAATCTGAATCAAATCGTCAATTGTGCGTAAAATCAGGCATTTCAAATATCTTTGGCGCTCGCTTCATACGAGTTCCTTGGAGTCATTACAAATTTGGTCGGTGGCATAATAGGTGATCGACATGGTCTTCGTTCCTGTCTTCTGATCGGGCTATCAACTCAAATAATCGGTATAGCAATATTATCTGGCCTGCAAGCTGAATGGAGCCGAGAATTTACGATAATATACATTGCCATTGCACAGGGCCTTTGCGGAGTTGCGAAGGACATGGTCAAATCTGTTGGTAAATCGGTAACAAAGTTGGTTGTGGAAGAAGATGCGAAAGATAAATTGTTCAAGTTGGTGGCATGGCTTACGGGTGCAAAAAATTCCGTAAAAGGCTTCGGCTTCTTCTTCGGTGCCTTCTTGCAAGAGTTAATGGAATACAAATACTCACAAATAGTATTGTTGGGTTTGAATTTATTGATAGTCCCTTTTGCATGGCGTTTCGTTGATCATCACTTGGGTGAAAGTAAATCAAAGAAGAAATTGACATTTAGAGAGATTTTTGATAAGGTACGTTAGAAAGGGACGGTTAATGCAATCGAAGGTTGTAAATAACGCGTTCTCGTTATATAATTTATTTAGGGAAGAAACGTAAACATTCTTTCACTGGCAAGGATGTTTTTGTTTTGTTCACGTGATCTCTGGTTTGAGGTGCCATTGCCAGTGTTTTTGAGGGGTCCGGCGGAATGGTATAACCTATTTTCAAGACATCTGACGCCTATATTAGTGACGTCTAAAATTTCTTACTTAGCAATTGTTGTTTGTTCTTAATAGGAAGTACATTACCACGGGTAGTGTCCTTGCGGCATGGGTAATATTTTACGGTGCTGTACAATCAAGTACTCCGCAATTAATCTTGAAGCCTATTAATCTATATCCTGTAAAGAATGGTAGAATTCTCGTACCTTTCACCTTTTTGCTACTGGTTGTAACAATAGGCATAGCGTGTTGCCTTACATTCATAGGACTTCTCACTCCACTATATCTCGTATTATTAATAGTTGGATTGTTTATTTTTGGATTTTTTTTCGCTATCAAGTCCTCGATCCATTCCTTCCTAATTTTAGCTTACTGCAATAGAGATAAGGTTGCAATGAACGTGGGATTTTATTATATGGCAAATGCTATGGGGAGGTTAACAGGCTTGTTGGTTGGTGGTGCGTTGTATCAATATTATGATAACAATTTAGTTTCTTGTTTGTGGGCATCAGCTGTTTCCTTGGGAATTTGCATGATCATTTCGGTATTTCTGGGTCCAATTCCAACTTCTTAAGAATAACAACATGATATTTTATACCATTATATGTAGCATAGTATATTTATTTGAAAAAATATTATGTAATATGTAGGCATATATGTGCATTCTTTGCGTAATCAAATAAGTATTATAGGCGAGACTATCGCGTAACTCGTAAAATGCAATATAAGTTGAGGCGTGCTAGATAATATATTTGATTTTAAAATCAAAATAGAATTAATCAAGTCGTTGCATTTTACGATTTTTTCTAAAATAAAAATAAAATAATAAATATATCTACAAATTTTATATGCATCATCAGATATTTATTACAGTTGTGCCCTATAAAATCAAATTAATTCCATATCACTGTACAAAACCTATCGCATTTTTTAAATCGCATGTCAAATAAAATAAAATAAAACTATCGACATTTATCCAAATTTTAGCTTTTTAATTATTTGTTTTTGAAATCTAAATGTACTATATAAACTTTTGTTTAACTTTATTAAATGACAAAAAATTGGGTTTTTTTTTGTATATAGTTATTTCTTTTTTATGATTATAATAAATTTTAAATTTTAATATTTTAAAGGTTTTCTAATTTTAACTATAATCCAATTCAATAAATAAATCATTCTATACCACTTTTCCTTTTTATATTTTTTATAATAAAAAAATCAATCAATTTTTATTTATATAATATCGACTTAAATACTATTATCATTATTTTATTTAAATTATGTAAAATTAAAATATAAAAATTCTTATAATCAGAAAATATACAGTAATTTATAAACCAATGGAAATCATATTTTTTTTAAAGTTTTTTTATATAAAAAAATTTGAAAAAAAAATCAATAATTAATAGTTTTTTTATAATTTTTTATTATCAAATAAAAATTTTTTAACCCAATTAGATCATGTGAACAACATAGTAATCTTGATATAAAGGAAAAATTATATGTAAATCTATAGTATATTGTATTATTTTATTATATAAATTAATAAACAGATCAATATGCAATCTAATTATAAATAATAAATAATAAAATAAACCTTTCTGCATAATTTAATATTTAATATTAAGTTATTTTATTTTAGTATTAAAAAAATATATGATTTATATACTGTACTTTATTCAAAATAAATATTTACATATTATATATATTTTTTTGTTTACTGATATAAATCTTTATTTCACTTTTTGAAAAAATTCATAAAAAATGTTATAAAAATCAACTTATTAAAATTAATTAAATACAATATAATATTAATTTTTATAATGCAACTGATTATTATCCTAGGTTAAAATTCAAATCTTGTATTATTTTTCTAATTGAACAAAGGAAAATATAATATAAAAAAACTGTTCATTTATTAAAATTTGTTTAACAAGTTCTCCATATAATTTAATATAAAAAATTTTAATTTTTTTTTTTTTTTTTTACTGTAAAAGGGCATTAGATGCAAGTTTTTATTAATTTGTATATGTATGATACATGAGTTACATCAAACATCTTTACAGAATATTTTTCTAAATTAATGTTAACCTATCTACGATGCTAACTAAAGCGATCCTTTTTATATTTAATGTAGATTGGATTAGCGTTAGTGCTGGATGGTTAATGCCCTTTCAGAATTAAGATAAGATCTTGGGACTTTAGTACATTCATTTGATCTACTTGTTATGCATTGAAATGTGTGATAATTTTGTCAAATAAGTCTGGTTGTACAATGGGTGATTTCTTTGGTTTAGTAGTTGTGGGTTTCGGGGTAGATTTTTTCCATCTGATACCGAATACTATTGAGGTATTTGCTGTTGCAGATCTAGGTAGCCATACTGCCGTGTACAGGAGGATGAGAGTAGAGTTTGATAACTTGGCCTGTGCTTTTTTTGAGAGCTGGACTCCGAGGGTCGACATTTCGCATGCTAGACTCTCGAGGTTTGATTTTCTGTTGATAGTCGGAATTTGTAGTTGACAGATAGATTTTGCAGCTATTGTTTTGGACTTGCTTTTAGGTAGGAGTTTTTTAATTTTGTTTGTAAGTTTGTTTTCGATTTCAACAAATGCCGTTATGTTTTTGTAGCACTCGAATACATATCTTTGTGTCTCAGGTGTGACTAGGCATCTGGGGCAGAGGTTGTCTTTGTATAGATCTGGGTATCTCTTGTGTAGAACTTGTCTTGTGGGAAGAGTGCTGTTGAGTATTTTGCATCTAAATACTAGCAGGGATGAACAGCTGAGCTTGTCCTTTTTGATGAGAGACTTTTTAGCTAAATAGAGTGTTTGAAGAGATTCTAGATCAGGTGCTTGGTTCCATTTTTCTTTAAGAGTTAAGCTATTGATGAGGTCTGCCATTCTGTATATTTGTTGAACTCTTTTGATCCAGTGTATTGGATCTATGCCCCAAGTGTTTTTAATTCTTGGGCTAGTTATGTAGTTATCAACTGCTAGGATATTGTCAATTGAGATGATGTTGTTACTTTCCTGAGATACCAGAGTGCTGGTTTGCTTATGTAGGATTAGTCTGATATCTTTCGTAGTACAGAGCTCATTGATACAGTTAGTTAGGTGACTATATGAGACTTTGATTCTTCGGTTAAGGTATCTTGGAATGTCTAGCTGTAGTACAAATGGAATATTGATGGTTATATAAGTCTGTTCTTTAATAGCTGCTAGAAGTCCTATGATCGTTAGCAGTATGTTGAT